GCAGCAGCATCGCGTGTGGCCCACTGTGAGCGAACAGTGGTGTCAGCATCGGCAGCGGGGGCAGGGGAGGCACTAGAAGTGAGGTCAAAGAGGGAGAGGCCGTCTGCCCTATCGCACTGTAAGAAAAGCTGCAGGTCGTCTACCCAGACGTCAAAGTCAATGGCCCGACCCTCAGCGTCAAAAGCGAGGACACTGGGGGTAGCCATGACATCAGTAGACTAGCAGCGCAGGCAGTGGGGTGAGGGCAGTGCTGAGAGAAAGGCGCTGCTCTTACCGGACAGGGCGGCTCAAGCAGCTCGGCTGCAGGGCGACTCGGCGGCTCGGCTGGTGGGCGTCTCGGCGGCTGGGCGGCTCGGCTGCTGGGCGGCTCGGCTGCTGGGCGGCTCGGCGGCTCGGCTGCTGGGCGGCTCGGCGGCTCGGCTTCTGGGCGGCTCGGCGGCTCGGCGGCTCGGCTGCTGGGCGGTGCGGCGGCTCGGCAGCTCAGCTGCTGGGCGGCTCGGCGGCTTGGCGGCTTGGCTGCTGGGCGGCGCGGCGGCTCGGCGGCTCAGCTGCTGGGCGGCGCTGCTGCTGGGCGGCTCCGCTGCTGGGCGGCGTGGTGGGGCCGCAAGTAGGAGCGGGGGCCGCACGTAGGAGCGGGGGCCGCGCAGGTAGGTGGCGGGGCCGCAAGTAGGAGCGGGGGCCGCACGTAGGAGCGGGGGCCGCACAGGTAGGAGGCGGGGCCGCAAGTAGGAGCGGGGGCCGCACAGGTAGGTGGCGGGGCCGCACAGGTGGCGGGGCCGCACAGGTCGCGGAGCCGTCAAAGGTAGGTGGTGGGGGGCCGCACTAGTAGGTGGCGGGGCCGCAGGCGGCTGCAGGAGCCGGTAGGCGTGGCGCCAGGGCCGCGAGGGTGGGGCGACGAGGTCGCAGGGGCGGCGCGACGAGGCCGCGAGGGCGGCTCGACGGAGTCGTGAGGGCGGCGCGAAAGGGCCGCTAGGGCGACGCGACGGGGCCGCTAGGGGTACGCGACTAGGCCACTAAGGGCCGAGAGAGGGGAGCGCGACTCGGGGAGGAGAGGAGGGCGCTCCGGGCAGGAAAAAAAAATGCGGTAGGCCCTAGGAACAGTTCCCACGAGGGAACCTGCTCGATACCATATCAGAATCAGGACGTGAATGAATGAGCTATGAAACAAAACAGTACAAGTACAACCCTAATTGGGTTGTACCCCTTATGGGCTACCCCACTATAGCCTACAAAACATGCATTAGCTATAATGATCTGACAATTAATCACAATCACACACAATCAGTCACGATCCTTTTAATGCATGGGATTGGGGATCTTGGCGACGCCTACCAAAAAGTTGCCCATGCATACTTCAAAGTGTACTTTGAGAGATTACATGGAAACAATTAATTCGCTACATCTTCGTTCTCGCCAAAACTGGGACGAGATTATAAGGAAATGCTGACACGTTTGCGGGGCAGGCGCCTTGAAATTTTGAGGACTATTAGTAATGATCGAGCGGCGCAAACAATGCAATAACAAACAACCTGATCAGATCAGCGCAGATCAGAGGCGGTGTGGGCCACTTCCGTACTACAACCACGCCCTAAAGGCGGAATTTTGTCGCATCTGATGCATAGTTTCCGCCCGTTTGTCACTTACGACTTTAAGATAGTGCGCTTTCAATACACTTTTGATGTCACTGGTCAACACAAGGCACATAAGTATAAAACCAAAACTTTGTACACTCTAAGAAAAATCAGTAACTACCAGTTATTGCTGTTTACCTGCTAACATAAAAAAAATCCCTCTAAGAAGGGTATTAACCCAAAACAGCAGGCCGCATGGTGTTTAGAGTCGTTGATTCTCCATAAAAAAAACCTAAACACATTGTCTTCTGGTGTTGAAGGTTCATAAATTCCTCGAGAACATGCCTTATGAGGGAGTTGTAATGCTCGGCTAATCGCCACTATTGATGCTTTGGGTTTCTTGACGTTCGAACAAAACCTATGGAGATAACGACCAAATTGTTTGATTCGCGGGGTACCCTCAAAACTTTCCATTCTTGTCATATATTTTGCGTTGAAAATAGGGACCCGATTTGTTCATTTGTTTTCATTGCAACCAGATAATTCCGAACGCTACCACCTATTTTTTCCCGCGGTTAAAATACTGTACACCTGATGCTCACAAAATTGCGCGCGCTTCTGCTCTTTCCAAACTCGATTCACAACCGATCGAGATTTTGTAACAGGCATAGCGAACAGGTTTTGCGGTTTACAGACCTTCGGAGCCACTGCAAGGACGAGGCAGTTAGTAAAATTCTCAATATTTGGAACAAAACAGTTTCAACAACCATATCCAGCCTCGCAACGCGTGGTACAATAAAAGCTGCCACACTTTATTACACTGAATAGAAAAAAATTGTATGCTTGTAGTTTTTCATAAGCCCTTTTGCCCGTTGGCGAGGTTGACGAGCGCTCACGAACTGCAGCTCTCATTACATACCCAAAATGTAGAGTGACCTTGTGTAACTTTAATGAGCATCTGGGGTAACGCAGACCAGGTGTAACACTGCTCCCTGAGTGACAAATGGGCAGAAGTACTGCTCCAGAAGCGACAGAGATGTGCTTTTGGCGTTCAGTTTTAGAGAGCCTGCGTGATCAGCTGAGTATCTTGTATTCTTCCTTGTACAGGACGCAGTACAAGTGCAAATATCGCAGGTTCGTCTGCAAATATCGAGCCCTACAATCGAATGGTCAGATCGATTGGCGAAACGTGGCGATCGTGACGCTATAACGATCGCCCCTTGAGAATTGACAGGTCTCCCGCGATCAGTGATCAGTCGCATTCGTACACTGAACAGAAATTTTGGCAAAAAAGTGTATTGTAGCATAGTTACAGCTTCGTAAATCGGGTTACCAATTTGCTCATCACGACTGATGATCGATCGTCTACTCTTACCGCGTCCTAAGTCTGTTGTATCTGTTGACTACGCGTTGTTAACAGCTTAGGCGTGGTATCCCATTTGACAGCTGTACTATTGTGTACACATTCCACAGCTGTACGTATTTGACGCGTTTTCAACAGTTGCGGCATGGTCCCTTTCTACAGCTGTCAAATGTGTACAGTTCACTCTTTGGATTTCGGCTCAATCGTACACCCTGTTTCGCGCTAGCAGAGCATCTGGTTGCAGAACATGCACTGGTTGTAGAACGTCACCACGTTTGAAGTGGTCTTATCACCGATGGTACAAGCACATTCACAAGAAAGCGGTTAGATAGGATGCTGCATGGTAAAGAACATTAACCAAGCGTTTAAAAGCGGTTGAAAAGGGTATACAGCGATAAAGAAAAATTTTGCCCCCAGTACCACTCCGTCAGCTGGTGCGGCTTTGCCCGCAGGTTTCAGCCATACGGTTTATGGCACCTGACCGCACTGTAGCAGCGAATCGCGCAAGGTGAGAGGGTCGAGAAACAGGGTGTACTATGGTTGATTTGGATGGCAGATGTCAAATGGGAGGGTTGTACTGTATACAAATGGCACTGGTCCAGTTTGTGGTGAAGACTTCACCCTCTTGGGATGTGTTCATTGGCCTCTTCACCACAAACGGGACGGGTCTAGGACCTGTTGAAGTTCCTAGGACCTCAACAGAACTATTCTGAGCTGCTCGAATTCAAGCCTTATTTTTCACGGGCGCAGGCCGAAACCAAACATTTTAATCGGGCTCTGAGTGTACTTTATCCCGAATCAAACAAATGTAAATGACCTAATACTTAACGATGTGTAGGAGCATACTAAGTTCTCATAAACACACCTACGGCCTCTACATTGTAGGCAGAAACGTTGCAGTCAAAACATCGTAGGCAAAACATCGCAGACTAAACATCGTGGCAAAACCATCTGGGGGGTGGGGAGGAAGGGAAGGTATTAGGGGCGGTGGGTGGGGGCCCTTTGAAACAGAAACCAAAACCTTGATACTGGGAAAGGCCGTTACAGTAATTGTTACGGGTACCAGGCCAATCGAACACTTGAAACGGTCGAGCTGCTCCAAAAGCAGCCCGGTATGTTCAAGGCAATAAAACCCAGGGTCCACAGGTTTCAAAGTTAGGAAGGTTGGTTGGACTTAGTGACAAAACCTAAGGTAGGAAGCTTGGTGGACTTTGTGACCCAACCCAAGGTAGGAAAACACCTCTACTTCGACAGCCTTCTACGATTGGTTCGGGCAATTTATAAACAAAACCCAGTCAGTCATATTGCCGGCCGATAACAGTAGCAGATACACCTTCTTTCTCGCTGTACACTGAATTGTACGGAACTGGCTGGCGGGCCTTGTTTTGCTGGAGCTGCCTAATTGAACCATACTGAAACATGATCAAAATACCTTGCACCGTGCTTCTCCTCTCCGGAATCCACTATACCGAAAACCATTAGCTCTTACAGAACATTCAGTGACACATCAATACCAGATACCCCTCTCAACCGAGACGGGTTGGAATTTCCCAAGCCTCTAGGCATCAACCTCCTGAAGTTCAGTTTCCATACATAGATTTCTCAACAATCGCTTTACTAGTGAGTAGCTCGTTAGCTAGGGAGTAGGCAATGCGTTACCTTCCGTCGCATTGCCGATTCTGCACCTCGCGTAAACCGTTTAGGGGAGCCGCAGTGTGAGCCAATTTCGACCGTTGCAAGCTCTTCGTATCAGTTCGTTCGACGGCTCAGAGTGTTTCATCCTATGTGTGTGTGCTTTCGACATGGCTGAGAAAAACATCGAGATTAACGATTTTTCGGGCGCTTATGAAGCCTCGGACGTTTCCGGTACACCAGAGTCTGGGTTCGTCGAGACTCAGAGTCGAGAGGTGGTTCTTGCTCCGTCAGGGAAACACGACGAAGCGGATAGCTATTCTGCGATTGGAGTCGCGAGTGACCGGAACACGGCTGTAACGGGAACGTTTTTCGGACGACAGGAAGACGGCCCGCGGGATTCGAGGCGTTGGTATCGGGATTGGAATCAGGATATGGCGGAGGCGATTATATTCAAGGTCTCGCAGATTTTGCTGGATCAGAGGAGAAGATTGGAAAATTTGCAGCGGAAAGGCCGCTCTATAAGTGTGGTGGACTCGCGGCCATGGATCGTTGGCTGCGCTGCCTGGCTTCTTGTGCCTCTCGTTTTCGTGCTATGCATGATTCCCATTACCAACCGAGTGAGTTGTTTATTTCATAGGCTCAAATGCCTCTCGTTCCGTGCTATGCGTCCCGTGGGAACTATACAAGCTTAGCACCTTGGAGCCAATCAGGTCGTGAAAAGGCGCATGGACGCCTTGAGCTGAGGACTTTCAGACTATGCACGAACTCCTGCTTTACAGGTGAGTTACGACGACTTGGTGCAGAACGAGGTTTGGGCGGCGCACCGAACCAAAACGAATTACCGGGTTCCGAAGCTTCCATGCTAAACGAAAAAGTGCGAGCCAAGGCGATGTTCCAGCTTGCTTTGGTGCGCACCGGCGATACGATCCATCTATTGTTCCCTGCGCCTACAGCTCTTTAGATTCATGCCCATCCTTTGTTGCCGAACCTCCCGAGCCTCAGGTTAAATTGGATGACAGCAGTCAGCTTTGGAACCTCTCCCCTTCTGTGTGGTCGCCTGTAGCGGCGTGGGAGCGGCCCGGGTGCATTCTCACTCTCGACTCGCGCTACACCCCCCAGGGGGTGCTGGCAGTGGAGGCGGCTGTAGCGCAGCTGCTGAGGGACCTTGGGGTAGAGGCGGAGGGGGTGGGGGGAGAAGGGATACGGGGAGAGGGGTTCGGGAGGGGAGGGAAAGCAGGAGAAGGGAGAGGGGGGGAGGGTGTAGGGACGGGGGCAGGGGATGGGGGACAGGTAGGGCGGAGGGGGAAGATGCTTGAGCGGAGTGAGAGGGAGGTGGAAAGGGGGAGGTTGAGAAGGAGGGCGAGGGATGGGGAGTGGGGTTGGTACGGAGGAATGAAGGGGAGACGGTTGAATGAAGGGGAGGGAGAGGAAGAGGGGCAGGGGAAAGAAGGGGGGCAGAGTAAGGAAGAGGGGCAGGAGAAGGAAGAGGGGCAGGGGAAGGAAGAGGGGCAGGGGAAGGAAGAGGGGCAGGGGAAGGATGAGGGGCAGGGGAAGGAAGAGGGGCAGAGGGAAGGAGGGAATCAGAAGGAGACGGAAAAGGAGAGAGGAAAAGGAGGAAAGGGGATGCCTGAGGCGTGGCGGAGGTTCTATGGGTTGCTGCCTAAGGTGGTGGATGCGGACGGGAATGAGGATCAGAGGAAGATGTCTATATGGGTGACTCTGGCCGTCAACATGTGCGTATGGTTGTATAACGGCATCGTGTGTGTGCGTGGGTTATGCTGTAGACATAACAACTTGTATGATGTCATGTTGTGTGTGTTATCAGTGCGGCGGCATGGATAACAGATGGTGGTGAAAAGAAAGGGTCAAGGAAGTCAATATTCCTAAAGGATATACGTGTGCTTTTCCATCTCTCTCCTGCAGGATATACACGCGGCGGCATGGGTACCGACTCGTGGTGGAGAATGGCTCAAAATACACACCGGACAGACACCCGGCCTGGTTCAAGGTGAGTGTCTGTCACAGAGTCTGCTTGAGGCCTCCCTCGGCCTGGTTTAAGCCAAGAATGGCACCCCACCCCGCCCAGCGAAAGTGTCAGCGAGTCTGGTTGGTTCAAGGTAAAAGAACTGAACCTGGTTTCGCCCGGCTCGATTTTTTCCCGGGCCGAATTTTCAATTTGAGCTTTCTGCCGGGTCAGGCCGGATCAGGTTCGGCCTGCCGAATCACAACACATGCTGTTGAATAAATACTCAGACAAAAGAGAATCACTACATGCGACTAAAACACAAGTGACCCGGGCTGAACTCGAATCGGCCAGGGTCGGGCTGGAAAGGGTGGGTCAATCCTTTTTCGGCCTGGGAAATTGTGGCCGAACCCGGGCGAGGGAACTCCTCGTACTGCCTGGGGGGCAAGTGGGGAGAGAAAGGAAAGGAGAGAGAGGGAGGGAGAGGGGGGGGAGGGTGGGTGGGGGGGGGGGGTACGAGGAAATATGGTTTGGTCTGGTTTGCAGGGAGGGCCGGCCAGGTTCGACGACCTCTCATATCCTTCCCAACCTCCCCCCACCCCGCACCTTCCCGCCCTGGGGGTCTAGCCCCTCCAGCTCTTCCCCGTCAATGTGATGTCCACTTCTCCCCCGCCCCATCCAGCTCCTCCTCATCCTGCTAATCCCCCGCTCTCCTCCCCTCCTTCCCTCCTCCCCTCCACCCCCCCCCCCCCCCCCCCCCCCCCCCCCCCCCATCCTCCTCCTCCTCCTCCTCCTCCTCCTCCTCCTCCTCCTCCTCCTCCTCCTCCTCCTCCTCCTCCTCTTCCTCCTCCTTCCCCCCCCTCCCCTCACCCTCCTCCCCCTCCACCTCCTCCGCCTCCTCATCTCGTCCTTACAAATTGAGAGATCTGGGACGTTTTGTTTCTTTGTTTGTTTCTCGTTGTTGTTGTTGAGCTTCTGAGCGTGTTTATAGTGTACTTCTTGCTTTTGCATAGCTTCCAAATATTCATAGCTTCACGTCCCCATGAGCGTATCCATCAACATAGCCCTGCTGTCGCTCTTCCCTGCTTTCCCTCCGTTCCCTTCATTCCCTATTCTCCCTGTTTCCAATGCATTCCTTGCTTTCCCTGCATTCCCTGCATTCCGTGCTTTCCACACATTCCGTGCTTTCCCCCTTCCATTTCATACTTCCCCCCTGCAGGTGCGGATTCTGCAGGAGCAGCTGGCATGCTGCTGCCAGTGGGCCTTCTTTGTCGACTCAGACGCCTACATTCGCATGAACCACCACCGCCTCTCAGTGGAAGCCTGGATCCAAGCCATTAAGCAACCCGTGAGTGCATGTTCGTCCCATCCCATCATCATGCATGCTCCTGCCTACATACCAGTGGGCCTTCTTTCTTGACTCAGGCCACTAAGCAGCCGGTGAGTGCGTGCTCACTTCCTCTTCAAGTATGCACCAGCCATTGTTTTCCTGGCCCACGCATGGGGCAACAGGGTGTGGTTGGTTCCCACAGGGCACGAACTGTGAACGATGCACCCCTACTCACCCTGCCTCACCCCTCCACACTCCTCCACACCGCTCCTCGCCACTTCCTTGTTTCCAGAACTACTTCAACTGGCTGCTGGATGCGAAATTGACAGAATCACTGGACGGACAGGTGTGGGTTCCACAGGACCCCGCTCTACTGCTACAGCCAGCCACCGCACGACAGCTGGAGGGACCTGTGGTTCTGATGCCACGGAATGGGGACTCGCAGGGTGGGTTTCATGGGAGCGCCGACGTGCTGTTTATGGAGCACCAGGACTATTGCAATTCGGGGGTGCTGCTCTTTAGACGGTCACTGGACACTTTCCAGGTGAGCCTCTCCAGAGGTAAATCAAGTACTTTTTTTTTAGGAGAGGGGCGGGGGAGGGGGGAAGTGGGGTGTTGGAGGGGGGGCGTTCAATAGAGATTGCTGCGCTCGCATTGCCGCGTGTTTGAACAGCGTGCTTGCAGCCAATCGTTTGCCTTCTCGTGCTCTTGAAGGTGAGGCACGCAACACAACTCGTGTCCGCTTCCATTCCACCTCCTCACAGTTCTTAAAGCAGTGGCACACAATCACTGAAGCAGACGAGTTCCATCGATACAATCACGTCTGCGAGCAGATGAGTTGAATATTGAGTTGTCTTTTGTCCCCTCCCATTTCCCACTCCCCCACAGTTCTTGAAGCAGTGGTACACGATTACCGAATCAGACGAGCACTATCGATACAATCACGAATGGGAGCAACCAAAACTGAACGCCGTAGCTCTCCAGGAGCAGTGGAAGGGGAAGGTGATAGTGGTCCCGTATGCGGAGCTCACAGGTCCCAACGGAGCCATGGTTCGGCATGTGTGGGGTGGCGTGCCTGAGGGAGCACATCACAGGGTGTCAATGGAGGCCTTGGAGGAGATCATGGGGTTTCGGCAGTGAGGGGTTGCTTTTGAATATAATTTAACGCAACTACAGAGATGCTTGCTCGAGGGAGCACATCACAGGGTATGGTATCAATGGAGGCCTTAAAGGATATCATGGGGTCGCTGCAGTGAGGCCGTGCGTTTGCTAGAGGAGCCGTAAGGGAAGCACATGTCAGGTTGGTGGTAGAGGCGCTGGTGGAGACCCAAGGGTTGTCGCGGTAAAACTTTTCCACTTGCCGGCTGTGCCAGGTTACCCGTGAACCGCCCCAGCCTCCCACGCCCCGCCCTATTCTCAAAACTCGGTGCTAGGCCGGTACAGCAACCAAACGTTGCGTGTTACTTGCTACTGTTGTTTTGTCGTTTAGTGTGCGCTTACCGTAAGGCCCCGGATATAAGCGCAGACCTATTATAAGCGCATGTGCTTCTATCTGGAGCACTGTGCTTTTGGCCGGTACTCTATTATAAGCGCACCCCCCTGGGGAACCCTGATTTATTTTAAGCGCATGTATAATTTCTATTTTAAATTCTGCTTAACTCTGTAACGAGTTTCAAAGTCCACCTTCCTTTTCGCTTAGTTTGACTCTCAAAGAACTTACGGTACTAGCTGCGCGTCCAGTCACGAGGTGTTGGCATGCCTGCAAAGTGACGTGTATTTGCCCATGTGTATTGGCTGAGAATCGCTGCGCGATTCTGATTCGTGACGCTAGAAAATTTCGACTCGATTGGAATGGCAAGAATGAGATGCACAATTTGGTGCTATAAAATTTGTTACAATCATAAACACGACTTAGCCAGAGATCGGCTTAGGGTTGTTCGCAGGTAGTGTTGCAACGGAAGTGTTGCAACGGAAGTCAGAGTGGATGTAAACGACTGAGATAATAATAGCAATGCATACATCGTGTTATATAGGAAATAAAAATGAATGCGAAACGACCTAGAATAGCCATGTACCCTTATTACGGCGAATTCAAACCGTGCGGCGCGGGAACCCGTTTCAAAACATGTTCCCGCCATTTTCACTTCGAATGTTTCAGCCTGCATCGGTCTTGATCTGGCGGTTGCTTGTATCACTTCGACTCTTCTGACTCTTCGACTTCGTACTCGGTAGAGTCGGCTCCTGTAGCGTAGAGGAATGCCAACTCATAAAAGTTCATATCTCAACACCCCCCTTCATTCCTGATGTTATAACTAAGAATCGTAGTGGATAGGATAAGGTTGCTGAGTATAGAGGAGAACTGTGAAGTCTCTGTAATGACCTTGTTGACAAGTAGAAAGAGAACAAGATGATTATAAGATACAAGTACAAGAAAATAAATAGCAATCCTAGCTAGCCATGTACTCTGAGGGGTACATTCCCTTATTAACTGAATTGCATTGCTACAGTAACACGCGACTATTGCCGTTCTAGACAGTTACCACGTTGTATTTCGCAACTGCCTTGTGCGGTTACTGGGCAGTCAAGGGTCACGACCGTTGACTGTCTTCAACTGTTGACCTTCGGGTGACCCTCGAACTTCCGCGTGCTCTATACGAGCTCATGCGGTACTGGTACAAGCACCTGCTTTGCTATGAAGAGGTGCGATAGTGGAGAGTCTTCGGGAATGCTTGTGATAACCTCCAATACTTCATCTCTACTCCCGACGTCGGCCTCACCGTCGTCGTCACTGTCGTTGCCGGGGCGGAGGGAAGCCTGCGAGGTGTTTGGTGGTGGTAACTCAGCATCTGGTGACTGGCGGGCGGTGCTGTTGAAGTTGTGAGCTTCGCGAGTTGTATCATCGGGGTCAGGTTGGTGTAGAGGGATGAAAGTTGGAGTTTGGAATGGGCTTGTAAGAGGGATGTTGGGTGCGCTGTCAAACTGGCTGACATTTGTTGTGTCCACATCTTCTGCCAGGTCAGCTTCATCGTGTGGAGTGGCGAAGCTGCGGTGTCCTTCGAAAACTTTTTCCGGAACCGTGTCAGCTTCGCGGTATTCGTTGAACAGTGGCAGAGTCAGCTTCTCGTAGAAGATGCAGTCACGTGATTTTGTCACTTCGTGTGTCGCGTAGTCCAGCACGATCCACGCCTTGAATTCCTGTTCGATTCCGAGGTGGATGCCCCAGCGAGCCCGGTCAGTAAATTTTCCGCTCCTTGATGTGTGCGGTCTGTACTGTACCATGCAGCCAAACACCCGAAGCAGACGTGTGTCTGATTTTCTGCCCATCCACGCCTTGTGAGGAGAGCTGTTGTTCTCGAGGCTTCGGGATGACAGCAAGTTGTGCAGCCGGACTGCATGGTTCATGGCAAATGGCCAGTAACGAGGTGGGATGGCCGACTGCTTCATCAGGGCCCTCATCCTGGTGGCGAGGCTCCTATTTGTCCGTTCTGCTACTCCTTGCTGCTCGTGAGCGTAGGGCAGGGACACCAGATGTTCAATCCCTTTCCTCTGGAATAGCTCTTTGAACTCGTCTGAGAAGAACTCCAGAGCTACGTCCGTTTGCCAGCTCTTCAGTTTAAGTCACGATTGTCGTTCTGCTTGCTTTATCCACGCGATGAAACATTCGAAGGCGAGTGATCTGCAGTCGGTATTGACAGCCCAAACGTGGCGAGTACTGGCGTCAATGAAGGTCTGTCAAACATTATATGTGTTATATTTGTGTAGGCTATTGTGGGTTAGCCTCTAGGGCGTACAGAACTAGGTTTGTCATACTTGTACTCACATTCTGCTGCTAGCCAATCATTCCTGTTTCGTTCATTCTGACATGGTTTCAGAGCAGGTCCTCCGCTAGGACCGATTTTTTTTAAGGGCCCACCACACTGACTGCCTACTAGCGCCCTCGTGCGCCCTACTAGGACCCGGGCATTCGCACCAGTGAGGCTGCCGCTCTAGGTGCTTGCGTGTCTACTGCCCCAGGTGCTGGTGAGGCTGCTGCGCTAGGTGCTTCCGTGTCTGCTGCCCCAGGTGCTAGTGAGGCTGCTGCTCCAGGTACTAGTGAGTCTGCGCCCCCTGGTACTGAGTCCACTGAGGCACTGCACACCTTCACTCTAGACTCAGGAGCTTCTTGCTGTTTCTTTCGTGACCGCACTGCCCTTGAGCAGCTTGCGCGGCCAGTTGCTGTCCTCTTGCTGACCCCTCTGGGGGTCCGGTCATTGCGACCTCCTCCACTGTCCTTCCTTGTCCTGCAGTTCCGTCGGGCACTCTGTCAGGTCTCCACCTCCCCTCGTTCTCTACAAACTTGGTGGCGGGTTGTGCGCTCCAGGACGGGGGTGTCCACCAGTTCACCCCTGCCTACGAGCGCGTGACACACTGCACGTGTGCTCGGACGGGCCGTCACCTGGCTACCTTCACTAGGCAGCCGGGGTCGGACCTGTACACACTGACCACTGAGTCCCCTCAGGTAGCTGCGTCTGCGTCTGCGACAGGTCAGTTGTCTGCCCCCTGCTCGTGTCGCTCTCTGGCGCACGAGACTGTTCTCTGGCACCACCGCCTTGGTCACCCGTCCGTGCAGCGCCTTCGTGCCATGCACAAACGGTACCTTGTCTTTGCTCTTCCCCGGGTACTCCCTCCCCTACCACCCTCGCCTGATCCTCCCTGTCTTCCTTGTGTCGAGGGGCGGCAGCGCGCCGCTCCTCACTCCTCCTCGTTTCCCCCGACGACTGCTCCCTTGCAGACGCTCCACATGGACGTGTGGGGCCCAGCCCGCGTTCGTAGACAGGGTCAGGAGCGGTACTTCCTGATCGTTGTTGACGACTTGTCGCGCTACACCACGGTCTTCCCCTTGCGCACCAAGGGTGGGGTCCCTGCTGTTTTGATCCCTTGGATCCGCGCTTCTCGTCTCCAGCTCAGCGAGCGGTTCCACTCGGACTTTCCTGTCTTGCGTCTGCACTCTGACAGAGGTGGTGAGTTCTCCTCCGACCTCTTGGCAGCCTACTGTGCGGAGCACAGCATTGAGCGACGTTCACGCTTCCGGCCTCTCCACAGCAGAATGGGGTTGCTGAGCGCCGCATTGGCTTGGTCATGGAGGTCGCTCGTACCTCCTTGATCCATGCGGCTGCCCCCCACTTTCTGTGGCCGTTTGCAGTCCGCTACGCTGCGCATTAGCTCGACCTCTGGCCCCGTGTCTCCTTGCCGGAGACCTCGCCCACACTGCTGTGGATGGGGGAGGTTGGCGATGCGTCGCGTTTTCGGGTCTAGGGATCTCAAGCTTTTGTCCGCGATACGTCTGCGGACAAGCTCTCCTCCCGCGCTGTTCCTTGTGTCTTCCTTGGCTTTGTCGCGGACGCGTCTGGTTGGCAGTTTTACCACGCCACCTCGCACCGTGTCCTGCCCTCTCAGGACGTCACTTTTGACGAGTCGGTGCCCTACTACCGCCTCTTCCCCTACCGCACTGCCCCGCTCCCTCCCCCGCCTATCTTCCTCACGCCAGGTGCTGCTGTGGTAGACCCCCTCCCCCCTCAGGGTGCCGCTCCCTCAGGTGTGTCCCAGGTAGACCCGGTTGAGCCTGTCAAGGTAGCTGTCGACTCTCGTCCTGCTAGGGGTGCTGAGCCTGAGCGTGTGGAGCTTGGGGGTGCGGAGCCTGGGGGTGCGGAGCCTGGGGTTGCGGAGTCTGGGGGTGTTGAGTCTGGGGGTGCTGAGCCTGGGAGTGCTACACCTGGAGGAGCTCTCTCCTACGAGCAGCTGCGTGAGTGGTACTTACAGTACTGCAGCCTCAGGAGAGGTGCTTCTGGCGCTCGGAGCGCTGCTGGAGCTGGTGCTAGTGCTTCCCCTCCTAGGTGGGCGCTGCCCTCTCCCCTGCAGCTCCGCGAGTGGTACGCTCGGCACTGCAGTCTCCGAAGTGGCGCTCCTCGCGTGGCCGACCCCGGTGCTGCTGCTGGAGATGCTGGGGGTGCTGCTGGTCCTGGTGCTGGTGGAGCTGCTGGAGGTACAGCTGGTGCTGCTGGAGCTGCTAGAGGTGTTGCTGGTGCTGGTGCTGCTGGAGCTGCAGGAGGTGCTGCTGCTACTGCTGGTGCTGCTGGAGCTGCTGGTGCTGCTGGAGCTGC